CTCAAATAAAGTGGAACTTCTCCGGTGAACTGTCAGCTAGGGTCCTGTCATTCTTTCAACTACTGTGTAAATTCAGGGGTCTAAAGATATGAGTACTGCTGGAGATGACACTTTTGTGAGCCAACTGAATTTTTCTGCAGGCTAAATGAAACTGTTTCCATCTTTGGTTTCCAAGGTATGTTGGAGGAATGGGATTAAGCTACTGATGCTGTGTCCACTGTGTTCACAGGCTGATCCAGACCTGTCTCCTGCCCCTGGGTCTCATCAGAAACCAGAATCTGTGGCTTCTGGTTATCCTCATACTTCTCTAGGTGGTCAAGGCCCCTGCCCTCCATCTCAGCAGCCCAGGCATGGCTGACATTGATGTCCCCTAATCCTGGAGTGTGGGGTCTTGGGTCACATCTATGGAGCTAGTGCCCTCACTGACACACACTGCACTAATGCTGCTTATATTAGTGACCAGCTGATGCCTGAAGTAGACTTCTGTGCCCTGGAACACTTACTGTATGCATTACTGACCAACACAATGGACTTTGGTTGCTGTAAAGTCCTACCATATAAAGAGCATTGAGTCTGCCTAATCTAGACCCATCTAAGAGGAGGCTGAGCCTGGGGAGGGCTCCACCTTCTTCCCTCTGAGCAAGCGTTTCTCTTGTGATCACGAACATTATTTTGTCTGCACCCAGGGGAGTCCCCAAATTCCCAGACTTATTTAGCTACTAGTTTAAAACAGTTTGTGTCCATAAAGGGATATCAGGTCTTGAATCATTTACAAAATATCTGGAGCCCTGAAATTTCCTGTACTTCTTACTCAAATTTGCTGGAAGTGGTCAACAGGAGAGAGAGAGCTTGGACTGCTCCCCCAGGAGCAAATTGGAAAATGCTATTATTTCCATCCACCTTCCAGTTGAAGTGGAAAGGACAGACCCCAGAAGGCAGAGCACCCTCCCCATGGCTCAGACCCTCATGGGAACACCTGCTGCACCTCCACCTCCCGGGCCCAGGTACCTGAAAGAGCATTGCCAGAAACCTCTTCTCAGCCTCATTCCGGCCATAGCACTGGAAGCTGTGCGTATAGAGTGTATACATGTAGCCATACAGGGACACCTGCACGATGTCGCTGGTGTTCAGCCCCACCTTCTCTCCTGCCACGAAGGATATTTGGGTGGAGGCACCACCTAGATCCAGGGCACCTGTGGTTTCTACTCCATGTGGATGCACCCACATATGCCACAGGTTCTTCTGCACAGTGGGAAAAGAAAGTGAGAAAAAAGGCCAAAGGCACCATCTCTGTTCGCCCAGGTTTCTCCACCCAAGACCCATCTCCTAATACTAAGAAGTATGACATGGGGAGCATTCAGGGCCAGTTCTCTCCTTTTATTTCAGGGGTGGTGAATTCAAATGCTTATAGGAGCTGGGCAGATAACATAAATGAGAAATAAATGAGTGAAGTAGATTAGGTGTACAACAGGGAGTGGTGGGGACTGCAACAAACTGGAGAGTCCACGAGTTACATTTTGTTCTCATTAGTTATAATCATGCAGGAATCTAAATCCACTGTGATCAGTTCCTCCAGTTTTGGGGATGGGAAGGTGAGGAGGTCAGAAGAAGCTAGAAATGTAAATTTTTATGTGAAATTTCCCAAATATTAACTATTGGCAATTATCTTATAAATTTAAAATACATTTGCAGGGAAACAAAATAGGTCTTGGGTTGGACATGGCCCCAGTACCCTCAGTTTGTGCCCTCTGTAACAGGGCAGTTGTCTCTTAGAGTTGACTTGTGCAGGGATTGGACTGTAAGGAGACCTGGGACACAGAGTGAAGACCTCTCTGTCTCTGGGGACTCAGGGAAGCAGACTGTCTGAGGGCTTTGTATATCCCAGATGTCCATGGAGTCTCTCAAAGAATCATGGTCCAACTGCCCTTCAAAAGACCCATAGCCCAGTGTTAAATCTAGACTCCACCCTCTCCAATTTCTTACAATCTAGTCAAGTGATGACATTCCTCCTCCCCCAAGAATTTGGTCCTGTTTATGATCCATGCTTTTCCCCCAGCTATACATGTGTCTTTTCTTAGTTACTGTCTCATAGGTGTTACCTTAATGAATTACATGAGATTACACGTAATAATGTTACATGTTATCCTAATAATTACATGATTTGACATGTGTTATCCTAATGAATTACATTAATGAATGACACAGGACAGATGTCCCTGTCGTCATGTACTTCTGCTTAAGCTACCACTCACAGGGGATGGGATAAAGAGCAAAATTAAAAACCATGCATTTGTTTCCACACACCTCCAGGAAATTTCCCATTAAATAGTTGGCTGTAATCCATCCATATACCCCTTCCTCTTGCCCAGAAATGATTTGAGCACCCCTAAAATCAAAGGGCTGGGCCTTGAAGTAGCTTTGGATGCTTGCAAGGACTTCTTTAGCTGCTGTTTCATTTTGCAACCTATGCAAGGCACAGAACACAAAAGGCTGAGTGCCCAGACAACACAGTCTTAAAATAGTCTCCCTCAGGTGAAAATGTAAACATCCCCACCTCCTGCTGACAGTGATGATTGTCCAGATGTGTACCATACACGGCAACCCCTTTTGCAAGTTGAAGTCTCCTGGGGCCACCGTGAAGGCAGGATGCACTTGCTACCTGTCAAACTACCAAGCAGGAAAATAGCTTTCAGTGGAAGTACAATTTGTTCTCCCCATCCCTACCTGTTCCTGTTCCTGTTCCAGTTCCACTCTCTAGCAATCAGCAATCAAAAGAGCCTCCTACTTAGCGGCTATCGCTCTGACTCAGATCAGCAGATTGGTGACAGCAGAAGAGTGACATAGGTAATCCCTTAGGGGCATCATGCAAAGGAGCCCTGGTCAAGCCAGAAGGAAGGGCAGTTTTGGAGGAAGGGGGAAAGGAAGAAGATTGAGTTTTTAGCTGTCCCTGCTTCACTCTTTGGAAGGGCTTCATCATAAGAGGATATGATGGTAATCATGGTTGTCACTGGATTGAAAAACCACTGGTGTGTTGACCCACAGAGGAGTGGAACATAGCATTACTGTGTGTTAGTATGGCATCCACCTGCTGCTGTTTTACCCCTATGAAAGAAAGCTCACTTGGGAGATTATTTCCTCTTTCATCAGTGGGTTAAGAAAGCCAGGGGCACTGTATCAGTCTTGGCTCAGGGAGAAGAAAGAGCAATGCTACATGCAGAAGTCCATTCCAACTCAGTGGCAAATAATCACTGCTTGGAAAGTAATTCAGTTTTCCTAGTTTTATCAATTCCCATTCTAGCTGATTTACATCAATTGCTTTTTTTTTATTTTTCTGTTTTACTTTTCTAATAATTAAAATATCAGCTAGTTCTTCAGAAGAAGTAGATCACTATCAGAAAACAGTTTTACAAGAAAAGTTAATTATTCAAAGGGGACATCCACTTTTTTTCCCAAGTGGTAAGCTTTCTTTTCATGGTTTTTGCCATGGGCTATAAATTGCAGGACCTTTTAATAATATCTCACCGAGTGACTGGGGGAAAAGCAACTAAGAAAAAGTCAGGTTCTTTAGAACTGTTTTCATGAGAAAGAAAAGGCAGAAGGAAAAAATTTCTATTTAATTTCTATTACAGGTCAACTCAATCATTTTGAAACACACTGCGGATTCCAAGAGTGGATTAAAAAAAAATACAACTTCCTTCCACATTTCTGTTTAGTCAACCAGGACATCAAATAGTAACAAGAATAGGGAAACTCCAAGAAAAAGGTCCAATCCACTGAAAGAGCTTCATGATTTATTTTTATGGTCTTGTTAAAGTGGCTCTATTTATTTATATTTTCTTCATGCCCAGACATATATAATTTTACATGATTGAGATCATGGATAAAGTGTCTTTGAAGAAAATGAGTGTTGTCTTCTCTTGAAAAAGCCTTATTTCCAATGCTTGGAGCAGCCTCTACCTTAATAAGACTTAAATTTGATATTTTTTTGGAAGTATTTTTCTTTTATTTCAAGGTCAAGGAAATATTATAATGGAGAGGGAAAAAAAAGAAAGGACAATCAAAAACAATACAACTGGGCTAAAAGTCATGGCTGCAAATTTAGAAGGAACTGATTGATTGAATGAAATGAGATGTTTGTTTCATCACTCCAAAGGCTTTGACTGACATGAGGTGTAGATAGTGCATTGTTTTAAACCAGACTTCAGTGATGTTTTGTACATGGGCAGAAGCTACATAGCTATGGGTCGCACTTACTACAGAACTTAGCTGCTTGTTCAGAAGTGTCAAAATGNGTGAAAAGAAAACCTACGGAATGGCAGAAAGTATTTGCAAACTATACATCTGACAAGGGGTCAGAATATACCAAGAATATACCAAGAACTCAAATAACTTAGTAAAAAAAATATCATCTGATTAAAAAATGGGCAAAAGAGCTAAATAGACACTTCACAAAAGAAGACATACGAATGGCCAACAGGTACATGAAAAAATGCTCAACATCACTAATCAAATGCAAATCAAAACCACACTGAGATATCATCTCACCCTAGTTAGACTGGTTATTATCAAAAGGACAGAAAATAACAAATGCTGGTGAGGATGCGGAGAAAGGGGAACCTTCCCATACTGTTTGTGGGACTGTAAATTAGCACAGCCATTATGGAAAACAGTATGGAAGTTTCTCGGACCATAGATAGAACTACCATATGAGAAAATTATGTTAAGTGAAATAAGCAAGGCACAGAAAGAGACATACTACATGACCTTACTCATAAGTGAGAATTAAAAATAAATAAAAGAAAGATAAAGAAATGGCCACGCCACGCTCAGC